CTCAAGGAATCCGGAATCCTGCAAAGGATTGGAATCCCGAATCCAAGTTCCACTGGAAAAGAATCCGGAATCCTCTACCTAGAATCCAGAATCCACAGCGTGGAATCCAGAATCCAAGACTGTTTTGGATTATCTTAAATAATGCGACACTTAAAACGAGCGTATTAGAAGAAGGGGGACTTATAAATTGAGGAGGGGGGCAATGATTGGAAGCAGAAATAAGCATTTGTAGTATCACCTCGAGGTCCACCAAAAAGGTCGTTAACCCCTTGATTGATTGATTGATTGATTGATTAATTAATTTAAGTATTGGCCGAAGAAAAACTCCCAAAGGAGACCAATCTTCTTTTAGTAAAATCATAAGAAATAAATAGTACTGTGCAAAAATTCTGACAAAGAGGTTTCATTGTATGGTAAAATCACAGGATTTCCTCCACAAATTTCAAAGTTAACGTGACAAATAATGTCTCCCAAGGATTGAATGGCTTAAGGATGGTACTCGTTTATTTAGTAGGAATGTGTTTTGCGCAGAACAGAAAGGTCGTCGTCCGATTACCTCGCAGATTACCGTGCCATCATTCACTGTTTTTGCTTCTGAAAATTTTACTGACTTTAGTGTAACACCTGCGTAGTTACGCAAAATGACTAAGAGGTAATGATGGAGATGAATGATAGATAAACGATCAACTTACTATACCACAAGACGAGGTTCAAGTGTTTCTTCAGTACACTGATGCAGGGGCTTTTCGTTCTCTGTAAGTTGCGATGTTTCCTAGAAAAAAAAAATCAAGCTGTGAGGGACCTGAATTGATTCGTCATATCTAGTAAATAAGTATGAATTTTGCTTCTAATTTTAAAGACAACTGCCAATTGAGATGAATTTGACATTTTAAAGTGACAATAATAAAGATTAACAAATCTTACAAGTTAAATTGTTCATCGTGACATTTAGCTTCGGACACACATAAAGACATTTCTCATTTGAAATAAATTGTCCCGAATGCTATTTAAAGAAACTGCTTTATTCAGTGAATGCCTTCTTTTTCATTGCTGGATACTTACATCGAAAGGAAACGGTTCTTGGGGGTAGTTTTCAGATTCCTCTTCCTCTGCCGTATCATCCGATTGTAATCTTTAAAACCAAAAATAAACGAAATCAAAATAAGAGCAAAGAAGAAAATAACTATCAATGATCAGTTGTAACAACAACGGATAAAACCGACACTCATGCGAGGGTTACATCTTGGGGGGGGTCACTCCCTTATTTTGGAGTGGCTCCGGGTATGTGCCGCTTCAGGACCTTGAGGCTCAAACAGGGCATTGAACACCCTGCCTCTTTGGGCCGGGAGCCCTTCAAAGAGCGTCAAGATTTGAGATGAGTGGTCTACATGCGGTGGTACGTGGCGAAAATAACCTACCCAGGATGCACCGGTTCTTCTTCTCGATCAGTGGAGTACGCGTTGGGGTCATCATCCTGAATAAACATGTGAAAATGTTCATATTTACTAAAACTGGAACTTACGTGTATCAGTATCATTTACTTAGTCCAGTTTCTTTGATGATAGGTAAATAAAGCACTTGGATTGCATGCCGTAGATTCCATATTCCAGGAGTTTCAAAGTGAGTGCTGGCTAGCGTAAAAAAGGCTAAAAAACTAAAACGCTTACTTGTCTCTGAGCTTGGCTGGGTTTGTTACCGCTCCCTCTTGACCAGGCACTTCGCGTTCCACTGCAAAAGAACAACCGCGAGTTATTTCAAGAAAATGGGGTAACGTCACTGATCCCACATTAGGGAGCTTCCGGTTGACACACGTCAACCGGAAGTGAGGCCTCCTTCGGTTTTTTATGCCTTGACGTTATACAATTTGTGTTGCTAACTTTCGTTTCTGTTATAGGGACGATTTACCCGAGAGTTTCAACCAAACCACTTCTCAGTGATGCAAAAAGTCCAGGCTTCCAGTTGACGCCCTTCACTCCAAAAAGGCTGTTGCTTCCAGACTAGGATTTATAAGAAGCACTCACTACCTTAATTAGTACTTTTGGTGGTGAAATGTCAAGTTAAGATTATTCACAAAATGAATTAGGAGCCTGAACGAGTACAAGTTTTAGAACAAAAACTGAAATGTGACTGAAACAAAACTGTTTAAGGGTGTAAAAGATTAAACGTACGAGTAAGAATGCAGCTATAGGGTGTGCGTATTACTTTCACTCTTCTTTATTGGAACATATTTGCTTCTATGATGTTCAAAGTGGACCCTTAGTGATCTCGCTCCACTTAGAGTGGAAACTGGAATCTTAAGCTTTGGAATCCACAATTCAGCTCAAGGAATCCGGAATCCAGCAAACGATTGGAATCACGAGTCCAAGTTCCACTGAAAAGGAATCCGGAATCCAGAATCCACAGCTTGAAATCCAGAATCCAAGACTGTTTTGGATTTTCTTAAATGATGCGACACTTATAACGGGCGTATTAGAAGAAGGGGGACATATAAATTACACTCTGGGGGCTAAGATTGGAAGCAGAAATACGCATTTTTAGTATCACTTTGAGGTATACAAGATCGTTAACCCGTAATCTAAATAGTGGCCGAAGAAAAACTTCCCAAAAGAGACCAATAAAATCACAACAAATAAATATTGCTATGCAAAAATTCTGACAAAGAGGTTTTATTTGTATGGTAAAACCAGAGGATTTCCTCCTTAGATTTCAAAGTTAGTGTGCCAAATAATCAGGTCTCCAAACGTGGTCTAGGAATAAAAGGGTTGAGGATGTGCTCGTCTTTTTTCAGCACGAATGAAGTTTTTCATGAGCAGTACAGAAAGGTCGACGTCCGAGCACCTCGCAGTAAAGTTCTTTATGTTGGTTCGTGATTGTACAAAAATTACTTTGTCTTAACGGGCTTTTGGAACCTCCCGCGAAAACCTTAAAGCGCGTCAACATTCATTGTTGTTGCTTCTGAAAATTTTACTGATTTTACAAAACACCTGCGTAATTATGCAAAATGACTAGGAAATTATAATGGATATGAATGATGGAAAAATGATCAACTTACTATACCACAAGACGAGGTTCAAGTGTTTCTTCAGTGCACGTTCGTATAGGCTTTCCGTTCTCTGTACAATGCGATGCTTCCTACAAATAAAAAATCAAGCGCTGACGTGAATTACAATAATAAAGATAGTAAGGGAATGTTCAACAAAAAAATAGAAAAATAATGAACAAAAGGCCGTGTTTTAGTTTGAGTTTTACTCCAAACGTCTCGGGCCCAGGCCCTTCATCAGTGGAGTTACCAGTGATAAAGATATGCCCTTAAAAACAAATCCGTCAAGTTAAACTGTTCATCGTGACCTTTAGCTTCGGACACACATTAAGACATTTCTCATTTTTAATTGTCCCGAATGCTATTTAAAGAAATTGCTTCTTTCAGTAAAATGCCTTCCTTTTCATTGCTGAATACTTACTTCCAACGGAAACATCTCTTGGGGGTAGTTTTCAGATTCCTCGTCCTCTGCCGTATCCGATTGTAATCTTTAAATCCAAAAAAAGGTGAAAGCAAAATGAGAGAAAAGAAGAAAACAACTATCAACTATTAATTGTAACAACAACGTATAAAACCCACACTCATGCGAAGGTTACATCTTAGGGGGGGGAGGGGGACACTCCCTTATTTGCTGCAGTCACCCGTGATAGATCGAAAATTTCTGCCTTAGCGCCAAAGGAACACCAGATTAGGATGCGTTCTGACGAACGCGACTTTTATTTTTGTCTCCATGGCTAGTAGCCCTCAGCGACACACCTTTACCTAAACATGCCTTGATTGCCAACCCCCTCCCTCATAACCCCCTTGGGGAGGCTATACTGCACCGACTTCTGCTTACCGGCGAAAGTACGAATTCGAAATATGCGAACTAGGAAGAGTGGTTGCAATATAGTATCGCGTGGTACAAGGCGACTTGCACAATAACCTACCCAGGATGCACCGGTTCTTCTTCTCGATCGGCAGAATACGCTTTTGGGTCACTATCCTGACGAAAGATGTAAACGAAAATTTTCATATTAACTAAAATTGGAACTCAAATGTATCAGTCTAATTTACTTTGATGGCAGTTAATTAAAGCGCTTGGATTCCATGCCGTAGATTCCAGATTCCAGGAAATTCAATTTCAAAAAGGGGGCTCGCATGAATTTGGAAGACGTTCCTGATAAAAAGGCAGCTACAAATGAACTTGTATGAAGCCTGATTAGATTACTATGGTAAACAAAAATCGTAAATACAATACTTGACGCTTAATTTTTCGTCGTTCAAACGGGCCAATACTCTAGGCCTATGTCCCGGATAATCCTCGTAACCAACGGTGCACCCTCAAGGCTGATCTTTCATCCAAAATAATTTAGCATGGTGTCTCACCAACGCTCGCCCGCAGAAGATTATACAGTGTACTAAAATTCGAGGTGTGGCCACAGGACAGTATATATAGCCGGATTTTTGAAAACGTTACCACCCATGAAAACCAAGAGGTAGTCTTTTTCAGTATAAAGTAGCCACTATAAAAACTAAGACTGCAACCATTGTTTTCTTTCTCCTCGCTCTTTCTATTTTCCGTTCCTTTTCCTTTGCTAGCGTGATTTTCGAGGTTATCGAGCGCAAAAAAAAAATTCGTTTTCCATAAATCGGCTAGATATATATTACCAAAGATTTGAAAATGTAACTGCAGTAATAATGGAGCGTAGCTAAAAGAAATAAAAGGCGGGAGTACATAAATCATAAGTACATCTCCTACCGAGTGACGTTTTCCTGTATCCATGGTGCAACCTAAAGAAAAAAAGAAATTTGTATCAAAAGTAATGTTGAAAAGGTGATGCAAATTTACAATCGGAAGTAAAATAGACCATACAATATACTTGTGGGTGTGTCTTTTTAACAGGCTCATCAAGGGCCCTTGGTGACGTAGCCACGGAAGGGTACCCTACTCAGGCAGCGCCAGAGGTTTGGGACATATCACCCACGTGGGGTTACTCCGGGATTAAAGACACGGGGATGATCGACAGGGTGCAGAAATCCTCACCTCAAAAAATCCCTAGGGCTTCTAACGAAACTCCAACAAATCCCTGGACCACATACATTCAACCTCCAAGAAAACATGCCCTTACTCTATAACCATGATGGTTGTAAGGCAGAACTACGCGGCCGGCATACGCGCGCGGTTCTACAGCAATCCCATTGATGCAGTCAGTGCGCGCGCACATGCGTAGTTCAGATTGTTGAAATTTCAAACCCCCAAAAATCCTTTGATCATTCCCGACACTAAATGACGCAATGACACAAGGTTAGGAACGGCAGTACAGTGGACGAAGGAATAATGTAATGAGAATAGAATCACAATACACAGTTAAAGCCGACTATACTAGACTACGAGTAGTCCCCATTCTTCCTTAGGGATAGTAGAGCGAGCGAAACGCGAGCGCGCGTGAAAATCACCCCACCCAAGAAAAGGCGACACCGGAAAAATGGGGACTACTCGTAGTCTAGACTATACGGATACCCGCTTAGACCGGAGAGATATCTTTAAGAGTCCTGTAAAGATCAAGAAGTGTTTAAAGGAGCGGCGACTTGCCCTCATGAACAAAGTGAACGGAATAATGGCCAGATAAAGCTGGATAAAGATGTTTTGTTTTAGGATCTAATGGAAAATGGAAACAAATTTAATACCTGCAAGCCGTAGCCTCCCACGCAGACGTTCATGAGGAACGAACGCGTGACTAAGCCCTTGTGCAGGTAGAACTTCCTGCTTTCGGTATCATTTTTAGAAGGTATCACCTAATGTATGGAGTCGTTGGCATCGCTAACATTTATTTATTCATTCATTTATCATAATCTATGGTCAAAAGCCAAAGGATAATCTGTAAAGGAGTCCTAAACCCCAGATAAAAACAGATCACCTATAAAAACATTCGCATATGCTTCGTTCTCAAAAGCATTCCGACATGTGTCGGGTTTTGTCACCGATATTTATAGCTATCACCTAATTCACATGTCGTGCGTGAATCACGGTACCGTGAATCACGACCGTGATCATTTCAAACAAAGAATAACATCTGATACCAAACAAAACTTAAGTTCCTACTTTCAAACTTAAAAATAATAAAAAAAATATGTCCTTCTGTCCGCACAAACGTTGTTTGTGACCTCGAAATTTACTGGGTTGCAACAACGACGTCACCAGTGAGATAATAAGAGAGCATGCGATCGATACTAAAATAATTTGTGATACTGCCGTAAACAAATTTTTGACACTAAGATTCGCCGCGAGTTTAAAAATCGTTCCCGTGTGTTATAACTCAGTGTTCTGGATGTGGGTGAAAAGTTTTGGCGAACAACAATTCAATCAAAACTTGCCAAGGGATCGGAAAATTACACATTTTGGCGTGCAAACACGGACTTCATTAAAAACATGTTGTCTTAAGTCGCTGTCCCCACTTCCTAGTCGGTACTTGCGGGTATCGTTGTATCTACCCTGTTGTTAAAAATGTACAAAAGAAATGCGAGGAAATGTGATCATACCTTACGTCGTTCTCGATCAAAACACCGTAGCGGCGAAACAATTTTGCGTCGACAAGGCCGCGTGGATAACCTGTTGAAGGTAATGTTTTGACGGCTGATAAATAGAGTCTTCGTTTTCGTGACCACTTTATTACAACGATCACGTGACTGTTGAATTTTTTGTAGATTTCTAGGAAACCGAAAGGTTTACATATACTTGACCACTTTAACATAAATTAAATAGAAAGGATTAAAACTATAAACAAAAAAAGGTGTAATTTAATGTTAGTAAATAAGTGTAAGGAAAAATGAATTGAACTTAGAACTGGGTATCAATATACGGAAAAAAAGAAGTCCAAAGACTACCAAAGCTGATACAACGTGTATTTAAAAATTTTCAAACGATTTCTCGGCTGCCCAGACCTGCCTTCTTTAGGTTTTCAAATGTTACTGAGTTTTCTTTGAAAAAAAATAATTACGCACAATATAAGGGAGAATGTCGCAATATAAATACTTTTGTTAGGAGAGAGAGGCGGAAGTGACGTACATTCTTTAGCAAACCAGTAACTTTACATAGCGACCTTAAATCTATCGAAAAGATTGTTTTCCTGCTCTAAAAGCCATTGTCAAAAAATAACGGACACCGAGCATAAATAGTTTCGGCACTGCAAGGCCTCTAAAAAGAAATCCAGTGAAAGCTGTCAGAATATTAACAGCAGACGATCAAGAGGACATATGCCGAGGAGACACTGGTCACGAAGAAAATTCTGTAAAGAGATAGGGACCTTGACTCGCAACCAAATATAAACGGCGCGTTAAAATGGTCACGTGATTTACGATGATGACGTGATCGTTACCCAAATCAAACACTGAACTGACGAGAACGTTGTCATAATGTTGGAATATTTCTGTTTAAATTATATTTGCTCTGAGACCGTATTTGGAATAGGTTTTAAATATCCCTTAGATTTTTAGAATACTTTTAACTCCAGTGAAACCGCTCCTTTGGACTCCTCTTCGGAGGATACCTCATTCAAAGAACACAATCATCTTTGTTCTCTAAAAAAAGGTTCATAAAATCTTTCTTCAGGCAAATAGGGAAGATATGGTCAGGTGGTACAAATTGACGTTTGCTATTAGCCGTAAACGTGATTCTAGATTTCTTTAATGTTTTACTACTACGATTAAACTTAGTCCAAAAGACTTCTTGTGTAGCTTGTCCTGGGTGCCTATGGCTGTTTTAATTAAGATAGGCGTTGGTTTTCTCCGCTGCCATTTCTCTTGCTACGTGCTGGCACGCAGAATCACGTTTCTTTCTGGGATTATGCGAAGCACTGGTTCAGCTTTTGCTGGGGCCGAGGGAAAGCTGTTCTTGTGGTGGAAGGCCGCCAAACGACCCATAACGCACTCTCCGTATCTTTACACGCGCCCACACGGTAGCGAAGGTATGCGAGCTGAAGGAGAAAAAAAAAACAGGATTAAGAATCAATTTAATAACTATGTTTCATTTCTTAATGAAGCCACACGCGCGCGCGAGCGTAGCCCTATAGCTAAGAAACTTTGGTTATCTATCCATCTTGGTAGTCACTTGACTGTACTTCCGTGCGTCCAACCGCACCACAGNTTTTAACTCCAGTGAAACCGCTCCTTTGGACTCCTCTTCGGAGGATACCTCATTCAAAGAACACAATCATCTTTGTTCTCTAAAAAAAGGTTCATAAAATCTTTCTTCAGGCAAATAGGGAAGATATGGTCAGGTGGTACAAATTGACGTTTGCTATTAGCCGTAAACGTGATTCTAGATTTCTTTAATGTTTTACTACTACGATTAAACTTAGTCCAAAAGACTTCTTGTGTAGCTTGTCCTGGGTGCCTATGGCTGTTTTAATTAAGATAGGCGTTGGTTTTCTCCGCTGCCATTTCTCTTGCTACGTGCTGGCACGCAGAATCACGTTTCTTTCTGGGATTATGCGAAGCACTGGTTCAGCTTTTGCTGGGGCCGAGGGAAAGCTGTTCTTGTGGTGGAAGGCCGCCAAACGACCCATAACGCACTCTCCGTATCTTTACACGCGCCCACACGGTAGCGAAGGTATGCGAGCTGAAGGAGAAAAAAAAAACAGGATTAAGAATCAATTTAATAACTATGTTTCATTTCTTAATGAAGCCACACGCGCGCGCGAGCGTAGCCCTATAGCTAAGAAACTTTGGTTATCTATCCATCTTGGTAGTCACTTGACTGTACTTCCGTGCGTCCAACCGCACCACAGGGTCACCAATGTGAAATGTCACACTTTCTAGCTTGTGTGGGAGACTGCAACCTAAAATTGCACATCCATATTGTGGTCAATTGACAGCTGTCTAAACAGGGTATCCGCCGACTAATATCATGTGGCCATACTGTTGACTCAGGTGTTGACCTATCGAGGAACGTGTTTTTTTAAGTGCTCTGCTGATAAATTACTAGTTTTCAACTGATCGCAGACTCTGGATCTCTTTGCAGTGGTTACAAGGTAATTGTTTGAAGTAAAATATACATTTATCAACGAGAGCCTCGCCTTTAGCATTGGCTAAATCTATAATTTATATTCAAATTTTGTCACTCTATACAATTAGTGGCGAGGAAACCTAAATGAAACCACGAGGCTTGTGTTACACAAGGTTGATCGCAATTCACTCTTTTAGCATGGACTAAAGGCAGTCGAACCTCGCCAGAACACCCAAGCCACTCTATTATGTAATTGTATGTTGCATTTCGGTGTATTTGAATTGCCCAGCGCAAGACTTTTAGTCATGAGCAGGGCATTTTTATATAGCCACATGTGCTTCTCAAATTCATACCATATGCTTGTTTTCATCAAGTAAAGTTTTGGGAAACAAATACAAAGTAAATACTACTTTCTGTGAGAGGCGTCGCTTCGGTAATGATAAAATCGCCGATTTTCGCCGGTGGCCGGAGCTTCAGGGCGGAACCCTGTTAAAGCACCCTAAATGATTCAGCATACGGTCAGTTACTAAATCGGAGTTTAGCCGGGAATTAACAAAACTGTATTCTTAAGCATTTTTAATTTACCAAACTCTGATACCTTAACACTGTTAATTATTTATTCAAAATATTTCGCAGTTTCTGACTAGCTCCAATTCTCCGACTAATTCTTGATAACCAACAGGCATTTACTATATTTGGAAGATGCCAGCAATATACTATTGATTCGATGGTATATTTGATAGGAAACGAGGCTGCTTGGGCAATAGTGAACTAAAAAAATGGCGTTCACGGCTATTAGAGGACGGAAAGACTGACTTTTTGAACCGAAGAAACATCAAAGTACGCAAAACATATTGCTCAATGGACGTTATCTACTTTTTGAGGATCATATGCAACAGATACACCTGTTTATATCCTCTAATACTGTGCCGAGAAAAAGGCCAAAGCTATGAACAAAGCCTACGAGGAGGTAAGCATGTTTAAAACTCACCAATATTTTGAATGAATAATAGAACAATTATTGAATTCGGCTCTCGTACGATGCGAAGAGGCCGAGGCCCCCTCGATCTGCCTAATTCTTCACATCTTACTCAGCCTCAATCAATAATTGTAAGTTATTAATGGTTCAGTGTCAAAAAGGCATTAAAAAAAGGAGTAGTAAAACATTCATCGATATAAATAATCGACCTTATGTGTTAATAGAATATGATAAACTGTTTTGCTAGGAAACCAAATCACAGTTTTGACAGGTTTTGTAAACAATTCCGCTATGGCAGATCTCGAATATATTCATAAAATGACCGTGGCCGGTTAAGCAGAGAATCTCCATGGGTCACCAAACATTAACTATTTTGTTTGGCGGAATACAGCGCGTATTTTTTTGATTGCCTCCTGTGTCTGTAAATCGAGTTATTTGTTTTAAAACATTCAAAAACTAGACAATGATGAAAATTGAAAATTGATTAAAAATTAAGGAAAAAATTTGCACATGAATTTACCAAGAAAACAAGATGAAATTGAGCACGAAATTTTCAACGCCAACGCACTTTCACTCCATAAAATGCTTATTAAACAAAACCTGTCTCAGCACATGCTGCCTGCAAACAATATAAAAATGCCTCAGTGAATGCATGACTTCCTAATAAGCACTAGCTAACGCTTATCATGTACGCAAATTGAAGGTGCTGGGCGATGTGATTCTTTCCCTGAAGACGGTCCGAGAAAGGCCATATATATGACAATGTTTGACGAGTGTTTTGCATAATGTATGGACCAGACATATACCTGGGTGATAACTGAATCGAGGAAGCTCGGAAACTGATGGTAGATAACCTCTCCTGAAGGCACTGAAGCAATGGAGGTAAGCTGGATTAAAGAAGAGTTAAGTCGGAAAGACTGCCTATAAACTATGTTTGGAATAACAAATTTAACTCCCATGAAATTTTCAGTTAGTGGTAGAAAGGAGTAAAAATCTCCAAGCGACCACTGAATCGAAAGCAGTACACGCTACAGACTTAACAAAAAAGAAAACCTTTCAGAAATTCTAAATCTTGGAATAAAAGTCGAGAAAAGTTAGTGTTTAACATGCAAACTTCTTTCGCAAGAAATTACGAAAAACGATGCTGATCTTTTGTTTCACTTGCCTTGTTATTCAGACATGCCTTCTCAATATTCCCCTTTCGTCGACCAAAATACTTTAAAATGTATTCCACCAGAAGACAAGGATAGATCAGATATCCGGGGAACTTTTCATGGAATGTCAATAGGTATTTCGCAGAAACTTCGACATCCGATAGACCGTGATCTAATTAAAAAAAGAAATATCTTCAATAAATCAGGGGCACCCAACGAGAATATAGTTCAAAACCACTTAAACATAGCATTGTTGAACGTATTTTAGTATTTAAACGGTAGATATGGGCATATTTATATCCCCTAAAAATTTTTCATCTGTTTGGATTTCCTAGCTGAAAGTCTAGTGATCCGAAAATGATAGGGATCAACACTTACCTTTTCGACAATTTCAGCCAGAAAAAGGGCTCCCGAAAATTCTAGGTGGCCTTTTTAGGGTAAACAACCGTTAAATATGGGCAATTATACCACTTTTTAGATGTTCGAAAATCCTAGGACAGGCAGGCGAGCAAGAAATTTTTCAACAAATGTTTCGAAAATTCTAGACCTCAAATCGTCTTTCGAACAGATATTTCCCGAGAATTGACGTTGGGTGCCCCTGATAAACCAGGGCCCAGTTGTTCAAAAGCTGGATAACACTATCCACTAAATAAATCTCTATCCAGTGGATAGTGCAATTGGTTTCCCTAATATTTATTCGTTGGATAGTAATTTATCCGGTGGATAGTGCTATCCAGCGTTTGAACAACCGGAGCCAGGTTTAAAACAGATATATATTAAAAAACTGACTGCTTTTAGGATATAAATAGTCACTTGTTTTTTAGAGTGAATACATCAAACGTAACACACGACAGCGCACGCAAGAGCTGTCGTTTACTCGCTCGCTTGTTTCGTCACTTCTACTAGAAGAGGGTAGTCGTCAGAAGTCAAGTCATATTTCGCCGGGATAGGGTTCTAAAACTCGGCGAAAACTAACCATTCCCTACTGTTCTCTGTCTGAGGGCAAACCACTGAAACTTAGCCATGATCTGAGTTTGCACTGATGGCTGAACTGTTTGTCTTGAGAGCAGTTTGCTTTGGTAGAGCTTACGGTACCCTAAAGTGGCAAAAAACAAACAAACAAAGGATTGGAGGAGTTTTTATTGCCACGTAGAGGACGGTGAATTTGGAGTTGAAGTCAAAAGTTATAACTCAGCCTCACGAGTTAATGAGTTCAGTACCATTTTCTGTCTTGCTATTTCCTGCTCGCAGCTTAAATTCGTGGAGAGGCAGGACACACAAATTGACTCAGCAAAATGTATTTTTATTCTAGTAGGCTCGACGTTTTACCCTTTGTTCACAAAATCTTTCAGACGGATAGTGTCAAGCGATGTACAGCGAAACAGCGGACGTCGTCCTTAACAGAATTTCAACTGCCTCAAAACGTTGGCTAAAACGGAGAACTGAAAAAAATGGGTACTAAATCATAAAAAAAGACAGCCATAATATACCAAGCTCTTCTGAACAGGCTTACGTGCCACATTTGGAAACCGTTGACATACACTGAAGCTGCGAAGATGGAGGAGCGTGTAAAGAACAACGTGCAATAAAGAAAGGGTTTACTGAAAAGGTGTCTAATTCACCTTTTTTGTTACTTTAGATAACGACTGGGTATTGGGAGAATGGATGATGCTTCACCTTATATTCGGAACAACATCTGACATTTCAAAGTGCGCGAGCCTACGGTCCTTACAGAGCAGCTATTCGATTATTATGACGCATGCGCAAGCATAAGGATACTCGT